TAGTGGTCTCTCATTGTTTAATTCATATTTTCCTTATGATATATGTGTTTATTTGCCATCTGTCTATCTTGTTTGGGGAGATGTCTGTTCAGGTCTGTGGCCCATTTTTTAACCAGTTGTTTTCTTGTTGAGTTCTAAGAGTTCCTTGTATATTTTGAATAAGAGTCCTTTATCAAATGTATTTTTTCAAATATATTCTCTTAGTCTGTGGCTTGTCTTTTCATTCTCTTGATGGTGTTTTTTTTTCTTTTTGGTATCATTAATATACACTTACATGAACAACACTGTGGTTACTAGATTCCCCCCATTATCAAGACCTCACCACATACCCCATTACACTCACTGTCCATCAGCATAGTAAGATGCTATAGAATCACTACTTGTCTTCTCTGTGTTGTACTGCCTTCCCTGTGTCCCTGCTGCCCCTGCTACATTATGTGTGCTATTCGTAATGCCCCTTTTTCCCCCTTATCCCTCCCTTCCAACCCATCCTCCCCAGTCCCTTTCCCTTTGGTAAGTGTTAGTCCATTCTTGGGTTCTGTGATTCTGCTGTTGTTTTGTTCCTTCAGTTTTTGCTTTGTTCTTATACTCCACAGATGAGTGAAGTCATTTCATACTTGTCTTTCTCTGCCTGGCTTATTTCACTGAGCATAATACCCTCTAGCTCCATCCATATTGTTGCAAACAGTAGGATTTGTTTTCTTCTTATGGCTGAATAATATTCCACTGTGTATATGTACCACATCTTCTTTGTCCATTCATCTACTGATGGACACTTAGGTTGCTTCCATTTCTTGGCTATTGTAATAGTGCTGCAATAAACATAGGGTGCATATCTCTTTTTCAAACTGGGTTGCTGCATTTTAGGGTAAATTCCTAGGACTGGAATTCCTGGGTCACATGCTATTTCTGTTTTGAGTTTTTTGAGGAACCTCCATACTGCTCTCTACAATGGTTGAACTAGTTTATATTTCCACCAGCAGTGCAGGAGGGTTCCCCTTTCTCCACATCCTCATTAATATTTGTTGTTGTTTGTCTTTTGGATGTTGGCCATTCTAACTGGTGTGAGATGATATCTCATTGTGGTTTTAATTTGCATTTCTCTGATGACTAGCGATGTGGAGCATCTTTTCATGTGCCTGTTGGCCATCTGAATTTCTTCTTTGGAGAAGTGTCTGTTCAGCTCCTCTGCCCATTTTTTTAATTGGATTATTTGCTTTTTCTTTGTTGAGGTGCATGAGCTCTTTGTATATTTTGGATGTCAACCCCTTATCAGATACATCATTTATGAATATATTCTCCCATACTATAGGATGCCTTTTTGTTCTACGGATGATGTCCTTTGCTGTACAGAAGCTTTTTAGTTTGATATAGTCCCATTTGTTCATTTTTTCTTTTGTTTCTCTTGCCCAGGGAGATATGTTCATGAAGAAGTTGTGCATGTTTATATTCAAGAGAGTTTTGCCTATATTTTCTTCGAAGAGTTTTATGGTTTCATGACTTATATTCAGGTCTTTGATCCATTTCGAGTTTACTTTTGTGTATGGAGTTAGACAGTAATCCAGTTTCATTCTCTTGCATGTATCTGTTCAGTTTTGCCAACACCAGCTGTTGAAGAGGGTGTCATTTCCCTATTGTATATCCATGACTCCTTTATTGTATATTAATTAACCATATATGCTTGGGTTAATATCTGAACTCTATTCTGTTTCACTGGTCTGTGGGTCTTGTGCCAGTACCAAATTGTCTTGATTACTGTGGCTTTGTAGTAGAGCTTGAAGTTGGGAAGCGAGATCCCCCCTGCTTTATTCTTCCTTCTCAGGATTGCTTTGGCTATTCAGGGTCTTTTGTGGTTCCCTATGAATTTTAGAACTATTTGTTCCAGTTCGTTGAAGAATGCTGTCAGTATTTTGATAGGGATTGCATTGAATCTGTAGATTGCTTTAGGCAGGATGGACATTTTAATAATATTAATTCTTCCTAGCCAAGAGCATGGGATGAATTTCCATTTATTAGTATCCTCTTTAATTTCTCTTCAGAGTGTCTTGTAGTTTTCAGGGTATAGGTCTTTCACTTCCTTGGTTAGGTTTATTCCTAGGTATTTTATTCTTTTTGATGCAATTGTGAGTGGAATTATTTTCCTGATTTCTCTTTCTGCTAATGCAACAGATTTCTATGCATTAATTTTGTATCCTGCAACTTTGCTGAATTCAGATAGTAATTCTAGTAGTTTGGGAGTGGATTCTTTAGGGTTTTTTATGTACAATATTATGTCATCTGTAAACAGTGACAGTTTGACTTCTTCCTTACCAATCTGGATGCCTTTTATTTCTTTGTGTTGTCTGATTGCCGTGGCTAGGACCTCCAGTACTATGTTGAATAAAAGCGGGGAGAGTAGGCATCCTTTTCTTGTTCCCTATCTTAGAGGAAAAGCTTTCAGCTTCTCACTGTTAAGTATGCTGTTGGCTGTGGGTTTGTCAAATGGAAACATATATCTTAAACCAGAGAAGGGTCCAGGCTGGAGATAGAGACTTGGAGGATGAAGTAGTCTCAATAATGGTCCCCCAAAATATCCAGGTGCTATTCCCTGGAACCTGTAAATGTTATCTCATAAGACAAAAGGAATTTTGCCAATGTGATTAAGGATCTTGGGATAGAGATTATCAAGGGTTATCTGGGTGACCCCTAAATGTAATCACAAAGACAGAGGCCAAAGGAGATTTGACTGCAGAAAAGAAGGCAATAAGATACAAAAGCTAGATGCCCTTGAATGAAGATAGAGGAAAATGGTCACAGGCAAGGAAACAGATGTTCCCTAGAGGGAGTGCAGCCCTACTGATACCTTCATTCCAGTCGAGTGAAATTCACTTCAGACTTCTAACCTCCAGACTGGGAGAGAATAAATGTGTGTTGTTTAAGACACCAAATATGCAGGAATTTGTTATAGCAGCAATAGGAAACTAATACAGACAACATATGCATTAATGGTGGGGTTGGATGTAGGTATCCAGGGAGCCTGAATAGAGTGAGAACAGAGGGAATGGCAGAAAGCTCCCAATGACCCCAGCATTTAAGATACATACAGAAGAACTTCTCAGAAAGGGCACTGTGAAGGGAGTAGCCAGAGAGGGTGGATGACCATCAAGGAAAATGGCTGTCCCAGAATTCAAAGAAAATGTTATTTCAAGGAGGGAATGGTTAACACTGCAAAGTGTTCCTAGATTGAAGCAAGAAAAGTGCCTGCTGTGTTTTAAGAGGAGATCCTAGTTGACTTTGAAATAACTCTTTGGAGTAGTTAGAGCTGAAAACAGACTGGAGGGAGTTGAAGGGTGACTGAGGAGTGAACCAGAGTGTATTTCACAGCATTTTTTAAAATTAAGATATCATTGATATACACTCTTATGAAGGTTCCACATAAAAAACATTGTGGTTACTACATTCACCCATGTTATCAAGTCCCCCCACACTCCACTGAAGTCACTGTCAGTGTAGCAAGATGCCACAGAGTCACTACTTGTCTTCTCTTCACAGCATATTTGTCCTGTCTTCTCCACCAGATTGTATGCATTTTTTCAAATTTTAATTCTATTATACAAGTTGTATTATTCATATTATCATCAGCTGGTAGTATTTTAGTGTTTATCTTTTCAGGGTTTTTTTTTCCTATGCAAACTATATAATCCTCTCAATCACCTTTAGGGTAGAATACCATTAGGCCATTTTAAGAAGAGGAAATTCAGGCTAGAAAAGCAAGTGATTTACCCAGCGGCACACAGCTATCAACAGCAGCACCAGGACTGGAACTTGGATCTGACTCCAAAGCAAATGTTCTTCACCGCGGTACTTGACTGATTTTTCTACCTGAAGGACTCTTCAGAGCACTCGGGCTCCAGAATTAAACCGAAGTGCATTTCTATCCTGAACCCATCCCAAGGATATAGGTGGTTCCCTAGAGGCAGAGGTTCCTGGTGGGGGTAAGGAGTGGAAGTCTTTAGCCTGGTAGGAATCGTGAGGGAGGTGGAGGAGTTAAAGGCACCAGACTGAGCATAGCAAGACTGGAGAAATGGATGAGAGGGCCAGGTGAGGGCGAGCGAGTTAGCACCTATCGGGGACACGCACGCGTCAGGTTCTTCCAACCAAGTGGGCATCTGATCTCCCGTTTTACAGAGAAGGAAACTGAGGTTCCATGAAGGGACGTGTTTCTCGCATATCACTTGGCTACCTAGGGGCGCCTAGCCGCACGGACCCCGCAGGCCGGGCTCGCGGCTGAGGGCGGAGCCAAGGAACCGGGCGGTTGCCCAGGAAAGGCGCTGAGCCGAGGCGAGAAGCTGGGTGTGAGCGGCTAGGGATCGGTGGGGCAATTAGGGGCGGAGTGGGGCACCGAGACCCGCAGGGCTTGGGGCACGTAAGTGGGGAGGGGTGAGGAGAGGTTGGAGGGACGAGGTCTTGGGAGTTGGAAACGAATCGGTAGGAGAGGAAGATACTAGGCACATACAGGAGGGGCACAGGGATGGCGAACTGAGGCCGTGGGAGGGTGGGGAACTTGGGAGGCCAGGGAGCCGGAAGAGCAGGGAAGAAGCCACGGAGCGGCGGAGAGGGAGACGGAGCGGGGGGACTGCAGGGGCTGCCAGGAGCCGCGGGCCCGAGGAGCCCGGGGCGGGGCAGTGGGTTAGGGGAGGAGCTCTCGGGGGCTGGGCTACTTGGGGGCGTGGCCAGGGCGGGCAGAGAGCCAGGGGTGGAGTTCCCAGAGGTCGCGGGCTGGGAGGACTAGGGGCGGGGCCGAAGAGCGGTCAGGAGCCAGGCGCGGAACTCTCAGGGGCTAGGCGGCCTCGGGGCGGGGCTGAAGAGTCCGGCGAGGGGCCGGGGACCCGCTGCCAGGTTGAGGACAGGAAGGAGGCTGGAAGGCTGGGGGCGGGGCCGAAAGGCGGGATGGGTCGGGAAGCTCGGGCCTCAGGGAACTAGAGGGAACGCGGCGTCTCAGGGCGAGGACTGCCGGGGGCGGGGCGGCGCGGAGGGGGCGGGGCGTGCGGAGGCCCGGAGGGCGCGTGCAGCGGGAGGTGAGGCTGTCCTAGCGCGGTGCAGCGAGCGCCCCCGGCGCCCCTCTCTGGCAGTCCTCACGCTCCAGCCCCGCGCCCGCCATGCCCGAGCAGCTCAGCGTCGCCGAGTTCCTGGCCGTCACGGCAGAGGACCTCAGCTCCCCAACCGGGGCCACCGCCTTCGCCGCCAAGATGCCCCGGTGCCGAGGGGCCGCACTGGCACGGGAGGAGGTGAGGGAACCGAGGCGGTAGGGGTCAGGGGTCTGGGCGGGGCCTTCGCCTTGACCTTCACAGGCGTGAGTGGACCTACGATGGCGCCCCTCCCTAGATTTGTGAGAACTGAGTGCATCTCAAACATCTGTGTCCTCACTTTCGAGGTCGGGGTAGGGCGCAAGGGATCGTTTGTGGGGGCCTCAAAGTCACCCCGATGACACACTGTACAGGTCGGAGAACATACCTCCAATGCTCTTCGTGACCCGTCCCGTCGTACGTGTGTTTGCTCGGCACCTCACTTCGTCTGTTTGGGTTTCCATCTTCGGAGCCCCACAAGTTTGCCCCCCAAGTCACTCCCCTTCTGGCAGGCGTTCGTTCCTCAGTCCTGAACTTCTCCCCGGCTGCAGGGAGGCCCCCTACCCCCTGGCTGCTGGTTCTGGGATTTGGCCGGCGCCTGTGGAATGAATGCGAATGAGAAGGCGCCAGGAGCTGGGGTTCACCTTGGCCAGGCTGTTGGCAAGTTTATAGTCTCCTCTCCCCTCCCCTCTCCTCTTTGTCTTTCTCAGCAGCGCGTCCCAGGCCTTTTCTTTTGCCCTTGCAGGCTGCCCCACCCCATTCCCATGCGCACTGGAGTTCATTCCTCCTCTCCCGACCTGCTGCACTTTTCTGGGCCGCTCTGCAGGAAATATTCTAGAGCAGACACTCCTCAGCTTTGGGCCAACAAGTAATGTGTTTTTGCAGCTTATTTTCAGAGGATGTTCTGAATTTGGGTGGCTTTTTGGACCTCAGCATCGGCTCTCATCTTTCATCCTTCATCTTAAGAGTTTTGAGCACCCACTGTGTGACAGATACAAAGCTCAGTAGTTCCTAATACCCTAGGCCAATGTTTTGGAAAATCTTTCCTTCTCTCCCTCCCTTCACAGGCTTTCTGTGTGTATGGCTTTGTAGGGGTGCTAGAGATGGCGGGAAGAGCATTGAAGACCTGTGTTCAAATTCTGGCTCTGCAGTTTTCCAGCTGTGAGCTTGGGCATGTGACCTGATCTGTTCAAGCCCCACTTTTGGCATCTGTAAAATGGGGATAATGTTTACCTCATAGATCTATGGTATTACATGAGGCAATGTGGTAAAGCATGCATCTTGATAAGTGGAATGATTATCAGATTAATTGACAGACCTCCTTAGTCAGTGACTGGGTCTTCTTTGTCCTCATTTCCCTCACAGACTTTAGCCTAGTGCTTTGCACATAGTAGGGACACATGTTTTCATTAAAATAGACTGCCAGTTACCTTTGGCTTCCTACCTTGGGCAGAACCAGTAGCTTGGAATCTACCACCTATCAGTGTAGTTTGAATTTTACTGTGGAGGTTCACAGGGATATTGCCACAGAGCTTCATCATGAGATCAGAGAGCTTCCTGAAGTTTGTCTTCATCGCCTCACATCAGAAAAGATCAGTGCCTTTGGCTTCTTTGGGGCCTTCACAGTTCACCCTCCTCTCTGGGTTGTTCATTAAATTGTTAAATCAGAGCAGGAGCAGGAGAAAGAGCTGTACTGTGAACCCTTCTCCAGGGACAGAAGTGTCCGTTTATGCGCTTGCATCTGGCTTTGCTTGGATTGGTGTGTGTCAGCACTTGTGTGTACCTGGGGTAGGCAGCCCTTGGAATGCATCTGGAGGATGCAGCAGGTTCTGGTCAGAGTTCAGCTTTGCCCCATCTCAAACCAGACAAAACTCAGCCTGCTTTGCTTTCAGGACTTCAGTTTAATGCATGCAAACACTCATTAATTGCAGCAGAAAGGCTTGTGGCACCCAAACACAGCTTTTCTCTTTAGTAGTCCAGTGTCCAAAAAGTTAGACTCTGACCTTTGAATTGAACTTTCCTGAAGTTTCCTGTTCGGTTTTGCATTCATGTTTATATTTACATGTAGTGTGATGCTGGCATCCTCCCTCCCACCCCCTCACCCCCAGTTGTGGGCATGACTAACCCACACCGAGGCTTGAAGCTCCATTTGGCTGAATCAAAATACAACTGGTTCTTAAAGCAAGTCTTCCAGCCCCAGCTGGTTTCCTGGGAGTAACTAGGGACTCTGTCCTGGGACTTGGAGCCCTCTTTTGCAAGTCCTACTAGGATGGACCCTGGGCAGGTTCATAGGAGATTAGAATGTCAGCACTGAGAGATCCTTTAAGGTAGAGACCACCTAAGAACACTCTCATTTAAGAGGGGAAAACTGTCCAGAGAGTGCAAGGGACTTGTGCAAGCTTCCAGAGCTGAGTAGTGGAAGAACTGGTATTGCCACACGGATGTTCTAGCACCTTCTAAAGTCCAACTGCCCATCCTCCCTATGTGACTGACTTCTGTGAACCTCAGTTATTTCACACTTAAAATGGGTCTAATAATCCCTCCTTGTTTACCCCTCTAGACTGTTAAAGTTTTTTGTTTTTAAATTGTGAAACACTGTACAAACACGAGGGAGTATTAAGACATCCTGTGAAACCCCCTTCTTTCTGTCCTGGGCCCCTTTACATCCATCATCTCATTGATATTCACAATAGCACAGGTGAAAATGGGCCCAGAGAGGTTAAGGTAGTTGCCTGTGTCACACAGTGAGTATTTGACTCAAAGGCCTGTGCTCTCTCCAGTTCTCTATGTCATCTCTGTGCTAGGCACCAAGCGTATAAAGATGCTGCTCTGGTTTGCTGGCCAGTCAGGGAGATGTAACCTATCTTAGGGAGATAAGTAGGAACCCCAAGAGTCAGTCCTGAGTTCCCAGAGAAAGGTATACAAGTCAGTACCTTGAGAGGCCAGTGGAGCTGGGTAGGGAGAGAGGAGTGAGGACTGGTACAGTCAAGGAGAGCTTCCGGAGGAGGTGACACTTCCAGATAGGTCTTGAAGGATGGAAGAACCCCATTAAGTGGAAAGGACAAGTGAGTGAGTGAATTTGGAAACTGGTGGAAAGAGCATGTTCAGGAACCAAGTAAGCCATTTTTGACCAGTGGTAAGAATTCATGCTCTGTCATGTGTCTCTAACTACTATACCAGTGAGCTTCTATGTCCTAGTGGGTCTTGGATAAAGCAGTTCACCACAAATAGGAATCTTCAAAGGCTTGTATTTTATGTATATTTTCTGAGATTTAATGACATTTTAATTGCTCAAAGAACATAATTTTTAATTAAAAACATTTAAGAACAGAAAAGGCTGAAGTCTCCTCTGACTGTCTCACAGTCCCTATATTCTCCCCAGAAGTAAATGTGGAAATACGCATGCTTCCCAGTGTGTGTATGTCCTCAGAGAAAATAGATGATCAGTTCATGGGTGGTGATTAGGAGGAATGTTTACCTAATTGGTACCATGTCTTATAATGAAAAGTCTTAAATGTTATTGGAGTCAAATTTATCTTTTCTTTTTTGACTTTGCTTTTTTGAATCTTGTTTTTAGAAAGAATTTCTTTCTTATTCCATAATAGTCTTCTGAATGTTACATTCTGCTTCGTCAAAAATAATAAAATTTTGGTGGTACAAAAAATAATAAAAATTACATAATCTTAGAGATGGTTTGTTTGCAAGAAACATAAACCCTCTCAAGCTTCTTCATGTGGAAGGGAAATTTGTTGTAAGGAGTAGAGGTGCCTTATAAGACTGAAGGGCAATAAATAGCAGTAGACCTCTCCAGGACTTGAGGCCTGGAAGTGGTCAGGAAGCACAAAGGCAGCTGCTTCATCATTCTCGCTCTCACCCTGTTTCTTTCTGCACGTCTGAACCCTTGCCAACACACAAGCCCCAAAGGGTATCACACAGTCTTCTGGGGAACACGGGCAGCTTCAGTCCCACATGCACGTGACATCACTGGTCCAGCATCTAAAGGTACCCAAGCCAGTCTTGTGTCCTACTTCCCAGTTCCTGGCAGGAGGTTGATAGCCCAGCACAACTTCTGGATTGATTCCAGGAGCTGGATCTCCACCCCTTATTTCATCAGCAAAGGTCAAGGAGGGATGGACTGAAGCGGGGTAAACATAGTCACAGAGACCTACGCTGTGGGAGGGATGCTTCTCAGAGAAGAGGGGCAAGGCCTGGAAAGTCCCTGAAGTTTCCCCAGCAGTTGTTTGTTTGGCATGGTCTAGCCTCCAGGGAGAGGCAATGTACTCATCCTGTTTTTGCCTACCTGGTTATCCAGTCTTCTGGGGAACACGGGCAGCTTCAGTCCCACATGCACGTGACATCACTGGTCCAGCATCTAAAGGTACCCAAGCCAGTCTTGTGTCCTACTTCCCAGTTCCTGGCAGGAGGTTGATAGCCCAGCACAACTTCTGGATTGATTCCAGGAGCTGGATCTCCACCCCTGATTTCATCAGCAAAGGTCAAGGAGGGATGGACTGAAGCGGGGTAAACATAGTCACAGAGACCTACGCTGTGGGAGGGATGCTTCTCAGAGAAGAGGGGCAAGGCCTGGAAAGTCCCTGAAGTTTCCCCAGCAGTTGTTTGTTTGGCATGGTCTAGCCTCCAGGGAGAGGCAATGTACTCATCCTGTTTTTGCCTACCTGGTTATCCAGGTATAGATGAACCTCAGTTCAGAAAGCTCAGGTGTAGGAAATTAAAAAGATGGATTGGAGAGGTAAGGGGGTACAGCACTTGGAGTGCCTTGAATGCCAATTAGGCATTTGGGCTTTTTACTGGATAGCGGGGAGCAGTGGACTCAATCATGTTGTTCAAGGAATGGGTAAGGCTGGCCCTGCCGAGGCACCCAGCACCCAGCATAGTGCCTGGGGACTGACTGCTTCATGCTAGGTTCTGTATTAGGCCCTGGGTAGACACATTGCTCATTAAGAGAGATGCAGTCTTTGCTCCACTGAGCTTACAGTCTTCTGGGGAAAACAGCTGCAAACAGGTAAACAAACAAGTCAGTAAGTGTACGCTGTGTAAGTGCCATGAAGGCTTATCCTTGTGGCCAAGGCCTTCCTTGAGGATTGTTCCCAGGTCCTCATCTGTTTGCATGCCAGCCTTGCTCCCTAGCAGTCTCATCCACA